AGTGTTTTATGTGCTGCACAACAGGAACCTGCTGTAAAACAGCAATTATGCTGAGTCAGGCTTGATTTTTAGTAATCTTTTCCTGTTGAATCAATAAATCAATGTTGCAGATAATGCAMGTTTTTGTGTTTAGCCTCTGTGACACTGCTCACTCTTGTAATTGTGATTCTGTGCACAACTGGTGATTGTGACAACAGCTACAGAAGCMTTAAACTCAACATCAGTCTCCTCTTTAAAGAATCCACGAGTTGTTTTCTGAACCGATTAACTTGAATAAGTCTTAAAGGTCATGGGAGGCGCATTTCCTCCTGCTGACTCTCCGTGGTAGAATCCAGTTTGGGTGTGCTGCTGCTGCTGATGCTCCAGCAGGTGATGCAGAATGGCCTTGCACTTAAAAACATATTTAAATGACGTAATGTCATGTGAATGTAGCTTGTAATGCAACGCATTGCAGAAATGAAAAACTCTGAACAATACCTTTGAAACAATACAAACTCATTTTAACTTGACATTATGTAGTGCTCACAGCAGATCAAAGAGGAGACAGTGACTGATTTTCAGACCTTTGTGAAGGTAGACGAGAAGCTGATCTTTTCCATCGATCTTATCTAAGTATCGACCGATCGCTGATATCCCAAATTTAAGGAAATTGGTGCACCCCTACTAGTCCTTTTAATTTTCATGACACAMCTACAGCATTTCCTCATTTGGACATGAATCACTGATGAAAATAAAGATTTTAAAAAAATCCTTTTACATAGATGATGAAATCTCCTTTTGGTTTTCCTCAGGGCCATGCCAGAAAAACCTGTGTGGAATCTTTCATGGCAGTGGTGTCCAGGAGGACCTGCTGTCCTGTGAATGTTGCAGATGTCTGGAATACAGGCCGGCTGCCTTGAGGARCAGCTTCTGTGAATTTTGCCACCACCAGTTTACTGAGAAGTTGTTCAGATCATTGCTGGAGGTATGAAACTTTCGAAGGATGTTGTACAATTATTGAAGATGCTGAAGCTTAGCARGCTTTCATATTTTCTTTGTGATACAGTGGCTGAAGATCACAGGACTTCAGCAGGAGATGCGTACACTCCTTGGTGACTTGGTGTGCTTTGTACTGATCACTCCTCTGGCTACCATCTCTGGCTGGCTCTGCCTTCACCGTGCTGTGGACCATCTTTACAGCGGGTAAAGTAAGTATTGAACACGTCACCATTTTTCTCAGTAAATATATTACTAGAGGTGCTAATGACATGAAATTTTCACCAGTTGTCGGTAACAACCCAAGTGATCCATACATACAAAGAAATCAAACCATAAATGTCCAGAAATGAAGTTATTTGTAATAATGTGGAATGGCACAGGG